AACCCCCAATACATTAGTACTTTTAAAGGAAGATGACACTCCACCTCTAAGATGGCCTTTAGCCAGAGTCTTAGAGGTATTCCCTGGACGAGACAATAAAACCAGAGTGGTAAAATTGAAAACACAAAGTGGTGTTTTTACTCGAGGAATAGCAAAGGTATGTCCTTTACCAATTCAGGATTAAAACCTGCTACTTTCTCTATTGTAAATATGTTGTTTATTTTTTTTGTTAATGTTTCGTCTCTCATTGAAGTTTGGAAACTTCAAGGGGGGGAATATGTTGCGGAAATAACCCACAACAAGTTTAAAATGTTATTATTTGTAGTTTATCAATATAATCTCAATTTCTATTATTTATCATAAAAATAATATTCTAAAAAAAGAATCCTGTAAAACTGGCAACAGCAGCCCTTTTGAATCGGTAAAATTACAGATTTCTTCATTACCCTATGAGCAATGGATCTATTTTGTTGTTGTGATTGGTCAGTTGCCACCCAACATCCCTGATTTATGCGACCTGCTCCGAAAAAGGCAGTCGACTCGACGCACGGTACACAACAGTAGTAATCAAGAAGCAGAAGAGTAAGCAAAGACTCTGCACCCTCTCGCCTCTGAACGCTCTACAGAGGAAAAAAACCCCCAGAAAACCCCCGTTAGTACGCGAATTATAGTAAAATACTACTCCCAGTGTCTCAAGGCCTGACATGGCCTATATTATCAACGATATTATTGATTACAATTCATGTAATTAACCCCTAAATTGTTGCAAGTCATCTCGGACCTAGCAAAATTCTCTACTACGCCTGTTTAAGGTTATTCCTGTCTCACTCTCGACGGGCTTCAACTCTGTATATCATTGTGTTCTCTCTCTTAGTGGAAAATCCCTTAGCTGACAGTGCAAATTACTACGAATAGTGATAAATGGATAAATAATCACTATATGGATTTACCGGTATGAACTGGATTAAGCAAGTAAGACCGTTTCAATTTCTCAAAACAGTCGAACAATAAATTAATAAATACTGAATACCGATTCGGTTGAAATGCACTATAAATTGAAGTGTTTGTTCTAACCTTTAATACAGAAATTTGGTTTTCACACTCGTGAAATGAACATTAATTTGTAAATTTGTATATAGAAACTGAGCATATATATATAGACTTTTCTTGCACTTATTGTTTACACACTTCAGCAGAAAAGTGCTCAAATTATTAACTCTCAATAAACAAAAGAACCTTCAAGGATTATAAACATTTTGTGAATACAGTGAGCTGATTGAAGTTCACGAATTATTTGTGTTGTGCTCTCGTAAATTTAAATTAGTTAATTTGTGTTCTCGTTCATTGAACATTTAACCATAATTGATATTATTATTATGAAATTTCACTATTTTTATAAATCAAGATACTTATTTACTCGCTTATTTACTTTAGATTAGTATAGAATTTGTAGTTCGACTGGACGTCCAAATAGGAATTATTAGATAGGATTTGATTGCTGATTAAACCGAATTAACTTCATTTATTAATTAAATTGATAACTATTCTATTTCAGCGTTTTATTTGTATAAATGAGAATCAAGGCACCCCTAGTTCAATACAAGGCTTAAATGATCCAACACCTAATGGTTAATTTTTACAGTCAGTCAAAGTAAAAACTTTTGACATCCCTGGTGCGGTAATGACTAGAGTCCACAAAAGGGTAATAGCTAGTTCCGTCACAGATCTAAATTATATCCTTTCATAATTATAAGAATTTATGTCTTGATTGAATAACCATATAATTTCTTGTTCATTTGATATTGTTATTTGTGTCATCAGATTCTTGAGGAATAATTCTTATCACATCAACACGGCCTGCGCGTGATCCATTTTTGTCACTTTTCCTTGTTCGATAACCAATGTAAAACCGGATGATATCAAATTCCAAGGAATGATATAAATTCGTATTATAAATAGCTCGTTTTGCTATTGCAAGAAGTTAGTCAATAAGTCACTCTCAAGACGAGACTCATTTTACTCTCAACTCAATATTCTTAAGTACTCTTCGATTTTAAGCCCTCGCATAAGGACAACCAATTTAATTAATTTAAATACATAAATAAATTTCAAAGCTAGCCAAAAGTGATTTTTATTGTTGGAGAAATACCTTCCTGGAATCCCTCCAACCAACATGTGATATGAAATGTAATTTCTTGACTCAGTAAATTTGTAGGTCTCAGTCTTATTCAACTTTCATCATTTCTCTTGGAGAATGGAATTCTTCATCAGATTCGGGTGGCATTATTATGAATCCGATTCGAAATTCGATTCCCCAAGAGAAATCATGATAGGAGGAATATTGTCAAAAGGTTAATCTCCCATATGTTTTATCTATCCATTCTTTCGAAATAATGGTATCGCAATGTCTACAAAAGTTTTTTTACATGTCTGAGGTACATTTTGAAAGGGTTTCAAGTCATACTTCTATCCTTCGATGCGGGTTGGTTGCGATGCGAGAGTACTTATAGTTTTGTTATTGAAGTTTTTACAAAGCCCCCAAACCAATCGTATTATATTGACATTGGTAAGGGGGTAATCCAAGATATTCATGCCCGTGGTTTTTCAGAATCTCGTCAGGCTTGTAGGATTCGGTGGTATGCAGTATTTTGTAGATATTTGGATAGATAACGAACAAACATTTATATTTCATATTTTAGTTATCATAAGCCTATTGTTTCATGCTAAGAGAAAACTCTGACGATAACGATAAGTGAAATAAATTCCAAATTTTGCGTATGTTATAGTAACGTGTTCCTATAGAATTGTATTTCCAAATTTGTCTCTGTAAGTTTGTATTACGGTTAGATGGTAAATGGCGAGCGGTTTGATTGACGGTGTTTATTTTCTAGAGCAACTATAATCTACAAATCAAATTGTGAAGGAAGTTTATTTGCAAATGAGAGAAACAATTATTGTAGTAAGGTATTCATACATAAACTTTTAATTTATAAAATTAACAGAGCCTTTCTAAAAATACTTAATCTAAAATTCAAAATTCCCTAACCGTTACAGCCTCCTCTTTCTATTCTCTAACCCCAGAGTGGAATCAAACCTATATCTCCTAATTAATCCTAATCATCCTGTCTTTACAACTCGTTTTTATTTTTTCTTTCCAAATTTAAAACAGTTGTGAAATAGATTAGACAGAGCAATAATTTCCGATAACAATTTCACTTCTAATTCCTTTCTAATCGTATCTATACAAAATCTTCAAACAAAATTCATTTTAGTCGGTAGAACAATGTCATTCATACACTTTCATTATTTCATTTCTTAATATTTTCTAATTACAAAATTTAAAAATCTTTTGAATAGTGTTTTAATAATTGTTTCGTGTAATGAACTGTTTATAAAATTTATCTATTTATCTACAAGCATTTGGTTATGAGGCTTTTACAGACATAACCATTTTCAAGTATTTGAGTTATATATGATGATGAGACTCATAACACAACTATTTTTGATGATTTGACAAAAATGTCAAAGTTAAACCTGCAAAGGTAAAATGAAGATAGACAACGACTAATAAACGAAGATAATAATTGAAAAAACTTTCTTATTTTTCGCTTTGTAAATAAAACGTTGTACATCACACGTGCCTAAAAACATGACTACAAAACTCGTGTCATTAGAACGACTCGGTCTATGATCTCGTTGTTCTAATCTTCCACACTCGTTATTGTGATCATATTCATAAACGCACTTGTAATCTAAATAACTATTATATTATCGTAACTATTCAAAAGTGTGATGTACAACGTTTTATCTACAAAGCGATAGATAAGAAAATGTTTTTTTTTTTTTTTCAATTTTCGTTTATTATTTGTTTTCTATGTCTACCTTCGATCATTTTACCTTTACAGTTTTACACAAAAACTAGTTGTGTTATGAGTCTCTAGTTGTGCTATGAGTTTGTGTAGATTTATAACCTAGTTGATATCACCACTAGTTGTGTTATGAGTCTCATCACGACTGTCCATTTATCCAAATTGGAACATTTAATTTTATATTTTTACCACACTGTACATATGAGAATTAATTAGTTATAAGCAACCTACTTTTTATTATTGCATTACCTATCTTACGCCCTAGTGCAAGTGCCCTCACTTTTAAGTCCTGTCTGGTACTAAGGCCCTTCTGCTCTTCTATCCTAAACCATCAGGATCAAGCAGAAAATACAATCCAGAGAATCACAGTCTCCTGAAGCGTACAATGACTTAACTCAAATACTAGAAACATGGGAATATAAATCTAAGAATAAATATTTAATATCCCACTGAACTATTATAATCATATAATACCTTGGTTAAGATAATCATTAACAGGGTCTTAACTCCCGGGGATTTAAGGATTTCGTAACTTTCGCGGGGGAGTCAAGGATATCATAACTCCCGCTTGGAAGTTAGGGATTTCCAAACTTTGAGAAAAAATCGAAATTCTGGTTTATGGTTTATTCCTTTATTCCTTCATAATTCCCTTGATACATTAATAACTATAAACCGTGTCTTGCTACAATTAGCTGTTTTCGAGTTAGGGCGGTTTAAAGTTACGAACGCCTAGCATGTGACGTCACACCGGCTTCGGAGGCACAGTATTAACACGTGTAAGAATTTTCCAAAACAAAAGTCAGTTAACGGTCTCACTAGAGCGACCTGCAACCATTCAACAGAACGTAGGGCACGGTAAACTGATGACACAATGGGCCGTATTTATAAAAAATAGGTTATGCCTATCAGAATAAAAAAGAAATCCTTCAGCTCGCATTCATAATATTTCGAGTAAAACCTTATACTTATAGAGTATGAGAGCATGATCCTTCACAAAAAGTATTTGGTTATTCATAAACGTAACCTTTTACTCCAAATAAAAAAAGATATCCTCCAATAATTTCGAGTGTCGTCAGTGTCAGACTAGTGGTGTAGTGCTCAGTTGTAGCAATGACAGATGTGGAAGAAACACTATTACAAAGATGCTGAAACTCGAGGAGGTGATTTATCATCCGTCTTGAAAATGCAGACATGTTTACGCTATCTCAGTGACCCTGAGTATTAGAAAGGCATCGGTCAAGAACTGGGTGTAAGTCAAGCTACAGTATCTCATACAGTAATTGCCGTAATTGACAGCATAGTGGCGCAATCAAATTACTGGATAAAGTTTCCGTCTACCAACAATGCACTTATGGATGGCAAAGCACGTATAGGTCTCCGACAACAATTGGCGTAGTTGACTGTACCCACGTAGGAATACTGAAACCAAATCGCCATTGTGAGTATGTCAACCTTAAAAGGTCATCCTTCACTGAATGTGCAAGTCACTTGTGATGCAAGGGAAATGTTCCCTTAGTATGGACGATAGGTGTCCTGGATTCAAGAATATGGAGAAATTGACAAATAAGGGATCATTTACAAAATAAAAACAACGTCGTGATACTTCCTGATGATGAATATTGTGGTGTTTAGGGGTTCTTTCTGTTATCAATAAAACTAGTCACGAACGATAATGAGTGTTGTATTAAAAATATCACAGTTAAGATTATTGTCGGGCTTAAATTACAGGGTACATTGGATGAGGCGCGTGGCTTGTCTTTGGGCTGTTGTCTAGTGGACTGGTTCTTCCAGTCGCTGTGTCATGGAGCTTCATACTTTGTTCCTTTCCGGAAGTAGACGGCGCTGATAGGCGGTTGCTTAATTGGTTGCTTATACCTATACGTATATAACAAATATGGTATAGCGTGGCTCATGCATCCATTCGGAAATACCGCTCTAGGTGCTGAACTAAATTATACTTAATGAACTTTTGAAAATAGAGAGAATGTGATAATTGAAAAAAAAGGAAATGCCTATACCCCTAAATCTTTTTTCAACTCAAAACCTTAAGCCTACTTTTCATGCATCCGTTTTTCCGTCAATCCGTTGATCCGGAAGTATTCCTATTGGTCCAATATTGTGGCGCCAGAATATTGGACCAATAGGAATACTTCTGGATCAATGGATTGACGGAAAAAACGGATGCATGAAAAGCAAGCATACTTCAACTTTATACTTACAAGGATATCTTTCAGTTTTATCAATACGGCCAGATTGACAGAAGGCTGCGATTACGGCGATTAGCCGGCGTGACGTCACAAGTTCCTGCATCGGTAATTTATCTTCATAGAAGAAAGATTTTCTCGGAAACTATTTTGATTTTGAACATAGGACTGCGGTTTTCCACGAGAGATCTTAGATTCTTTTTTTTTGTTTATTTAAGTAGTCACACCCCCTTTGAGATTATAGACACCTATCAAAAATTCCAATTTTTTCACTAAAATAATGGATTTGAGTATTAGTTTTAGTCAAAAGAAACTTGTTCTTCTATTTTATCTATACTTTTCATCAATCAAGTCAAATATTTTTTGCACTATGGCAATTTCGAAAAATTAATAGACTCAACAAAAAATTTGTTAATGCATATATTTTGTATTCTCTAAGAAGAAGCATAACAGTTTTAATTGAGATCAATAAGTGTAACATCTCTTCCTAATTATATGCTCCACGTAGCGAAAATTTCACGTAAATACATCACGAATCCCATTTTCTATAAGAAAATTCCCCGAGGAGGTTTTTAAGCTTAAAGAATAAGAAAAAAATGGTTCATGTGATATTTTTGCTAATGTTTCTGATTGATGTCGTTATCGGCGATTGGATTGAAGTTACTAAAGTTGGACATTCAAATACTAAGCAATTGGGTAAGAATTTTTCTTGAATGTATCAATTTTGCTTAATGATGTTTTTTAAGTTGGCCCAAAAAGATTATTAACTGCCACTCCTCCAAGCTACAAAGTCACACTAGATAGACCAACAAGCTTGTATGAAATTACAACTATTAAGAAATCTGCTCCCATCAAACAAAATGAAGGAGAAAAATTGATATACAATAATAATGAAACCAAAAAAATAAATCTGACCAACAGCAAAATTACGCATGAATCAGATGAAGAAGAGATTTTAATTGAAGATGAAAAAATAAATGAACCAAATTTCACACAAGAAACTAAAGATGACAACATTTCACTTGAAGATGATGATGATGATGATGAAAGTACAGATGAAGATAGCGATGAGCAAAATAACAAGAGAGTATCAGTAATCTCTATCATAAGGCATGTGCAAACACAATTATTAGATTTCAAAGGACGAACTTTACAAGCTAAAGTTGAGCATTTGGAAAAACTTCGTGATAATATGATTTATGAAATAAGTAAGTACTTACCTATAATTGGGTTTGTGATATTTTTATTTATTAAGAACAGTTTATTAAGTCTTTGGTAATATTTATTTTTTGTGTTTTAGAATATCAAATATCCAACATGTTGAATCCTCCCAAGGAAAATCAATCTGAATCTCGCTTGTTCAAAGACGAATCGGGCGAGTATCACATGGAATATCCATCAAACGAAGGAGCTCTTATGACTATTGGACTTTTAACATTTGCAGTGTTTTTAATTAAATTAGTTTTGGCAAGTACCCATCTTTGAAAGAAACTGATACAATAATTATTAATATTATTTGATTCTAGAAATTAATCTATATCTTCAAATTAAAACAACAAAATTATTACCCAATTACGACAACAACGCCAGTAAGTATATTTTTACGTAAAACCAAGCGTGAAATTGAGCAAGACGACAAAATTGAAGAATCCGTTAGAATTTTGCGGTATCTTGAAGAGTATTCACCCTCTTAATTTATGCTCGTTTAAATAGGTAGGTACTTACATAAAAAAAATTGAATGTGTCATATAAATTAATCTACGACAACCCTTTTTTTTCAAGTTTCAAGGTCAAGTATGAACCCTGGTGAAACGAACCTTACCTATATTTTTGTCACATTAAAAAAAATGTTTTTAGGATAAGCTCCAAAAATGTTTACCCAGCCTATGAATTCCGTATTCTGTTAATATCTTGGTTATTAGTCCAATGAGCAATTAAACATTTTTTCATATAATAAGAAGGATTTGTTGGTTGGGAAAAAAAAGTCCAGATTGTAAAGTCGTCCTCTACAATATACTGTCACAGATCAATATCTCAGGGCAATTAAACAAATCGATTATGGAAAATAAATAATTTTATTATATGTCTCTTCTTTTGTCATTATATTACAAGTTAAAAAAATACTGTCTTTGTTAAGTACATTTTAAACATACAAAATATATAGCTTAAGAACTAATTCTTATTTATAATATGTACAAATTGTGCTTTTTGCGTGTTTTTCATAATCCTAAAAGAAAAATGAAATAAAATCATCAAGTAAGTTCAAAAGTAAAATGATTCTTACCCATCGTTTCCTGTTGAATTTCCACTTTATACGTCGGATTATCATACGCTGACTGACTGATTCTGGTTGAAGGCGGCGTAATGGCTGCCTTATTTTGATTATGCCTCCGTACCAAAATCAGAAGCAATATAAGGGTGCTAAGGATAGCGATGGCTGCTAGGATAGCTACGATTACTAGTGGACCATAATAGTCTCCTCGTGGACTATCTATGAATTCTGCTCTTGAGATTTTGTCTAGAAAAAAAAATTATATTACATTATTATACAAAAATAGTGCTTCACATAAGTAAAATATTTTAAAATCTTTTTTTTTTTACCTTGTGACGAAGATCCCAACGCAGGCGCCGCTCTAGGTTTGGTAATAAAATCTTGAACGTTGCTAGTTTTAATTTTCCCATTGGTCAAGTAAACTTCCAACCACAATCTGTATCTGGTTCCAGGTTTCAAGTCTGTGATAATGGTTTTAGTCGGTGAATCGCGTTTGGCAATTTTGAAGGTACTCTGATCCTCTTTACCAGAATCGCTTTGGTAAATTGCTCTAAAAAAATACAGTAAGTATAAATTATACCTTCGAAAAATTTGTGACAAATATCACATTCAATTTTATTTTTCTGAGAATATTTTACTCCATTTGAAATATTACCTGTAAATATTGACATATTTATCTTCAGGATACGGCACTCCGCTCCATAAAATTTCCACACTTGTAGATTTGATTTGGGAAACATCCAATGCCACAGTAAATCCATAAGTATCGACCAAGTTGGCAGTTGTAAATTGAATCATGTGTTCTGCATTTAATTCTGTACGTTGGCCTTATGAAGTAAAAAAAAACTAAATAAAAATATCAGTATATTTTCATAAATCACTCACCTGCAAACGGTATAAAGAAAATTCCAATTTCATATTTTGTATTTGGCTTTAAATTTTCTATAGTATAAGTGGTAACTGCTCTATGTATTAAAGGCGTGGCTGTATAAATTTTACCTTCGGTTTCTCTGAAGCGCAATTGGACACCGTCAATAAACTAAAACAAAATGTTTGACTTTTTTCCTTTAAGCCATATAATCACTTACCTGCAATTCGTTCTCAGTGAATTTCCTCCAGACAATTGTAACCCATGTAGAATTAATATCAGATATTTCTAAATCGGGTTCGATTGGTATCTGAGGTGGCAAGGTGGTGGTTCGAACGTCTTTCGGTGTTTTGATTTTGTAGATTTTAGATGAAGGCGTGTTGTGAAGATCTCTGGAAATAAAAGAAAACAATGTCAGATGGAAATATATTCAAAAAAATTATGAAACAATAGAGCTATTATTGGATGCTATAGTACTCCATTCGTATACTTAGTTCAATATGATCAATTTCAGTGCAATTGAAATTTCCCAATGTCTTCAATAATGAAATATCCAGAAATTTCAATAAACAGTTTCCAGTCTTTATGGATTAATCGCGAAGAGTTTCTTTTATTTTGTTGCCTCGGGAAAACGCGTTAAATCGAATCTTTTGAAGAACGTAAAGAAGTCCTGAAGAAAGAACATTAAAAATTTGTTCAACATTATGTACGAGCTCTAAATAATCGAAAGAATTTAAAATAGTTTAATGATTTGAGGACGGAATGTAAGTACTCTAGTGACTTGTTTATTTGACTTCATCAATGATTAAAATGACTATGATGTAAGTGAAATGACTTTGGATATTTTTGTGCTAAGTATAGATAGAGAAATTTAATTCAAATGATTGTTAATTGAAATTAATTCTACTGAAGAGTTTGGATAATCAAATTAAATGTTATTGTTCCGTCTAGTAAATGATTAGTTAGATATTTTGGTTTCTATCTAATTAAATGAATTTAGATAAAAATGTTCATTGTGTTGATAAGTAATTTGATGGCTAAGTACACGATTTTGAGGATAAGTATTGTACAAAATTTGACAGTATGCGAATTCAGGGATTTTATACGCTTATGGAACTTGGAACTGGAAGTTATAATAATTAAACTGAGTTATGAATTATTGTTTTGAGGTGTAAAAGGTGTTTTGGGTTAAAAATATTGTACCTAATGTAGTAGGGCTATATAAAAGTGTTATTAAAGTACAAGGCTTTTTGATTGCAACATTTTATTTACAAGCTCAGAGACAGTATAGAGGTGGCTGTAAGTTAGCATAATTTAGAATTGTTTATTTTTGTTTTAGAAAGGGGTTGGATTAGGGCACAGATTAACAACTAAAAACGACAGATACAACAGTAAACAAACAATTTGCGATCCAACATCTATAAGGTCGATTGTTGCATGAAATGCCTGATCGCCAATAATTCGATACGATTTTCAATATTGAATATCTTCATGGATAATTATTGTTTCAAAATATGTTTTAACATAATGTAAATGCTTTTTTATATCAATCTTTGTTGAAACATAACTTAAATGCCTTTTTGAAAAGGATAGTTTGTTTTTTTTTTAATTTAAATTGGTGAAAATTCTAGAAAAACATATATATATATTGCTCGAAAAATGACACATTGGCAATGTTGCATCTACGAGTACCCAATGAAATGATCTTATGTGATTTATATCATCCATAACATAACAGATTTGGCAGTGTTGATGTGCAGTGATAGAGCTAAATTTGTGATTTTGAGTGTTAATCAGTGGTATTTTTGGATTTAAAAATGTTGATAGTGTGGTGTAGAACGTTAAAATGGTACGTCGATATATTATTTGTATTGATTCCAAGCACATTTCAATATTTCGGCTGTAAAAAATTTGACATCATTTAACTCTTGACATTGGCGTAGTTAGAGGATATTTATGGTAATTTATTATGAGTAAAACTTCTATTGAATTCTGGGAAAAGCTTAGAGGAAACTAAACACGCTGCTACTGAACAGTGTTCCCGTTTTATTGGTCTATCTTTCTCTTACTTATGTCATGGATTAGAAGATGATTGATTATAAACATTGGGCGATTTTTAAATGGCATGTTTGGTTTCTAGTTTTATTATTAGTCTGAGAGTGAAACCTGGCACAGAAGATTTGAACACATAAACTCGACAGATTTGATTAAAAATGAAAAATTCTGTTGATGAGCTGTATTTCAAAGGCAAGGTGAAACTTTGCAAGCAAAACTGCGAAATTTGTTGTGAGGGCAAACAACACAGGTTTCCATTTCCCTAAAAAGTAAGTAGAGCTCAGGAAAGGCTAGAACTGATGCATGCAGATTTTTGCGGTCCAATGAAAGAAGTTTCCAAAGTAGATCAAGATAGGTACTTTGCACTATTTGAAGATGATGCAACGCGCATAATGGCATATGTGTATTTTCTGAAAACCAAAGATCAAGTTTTAGAGAAATTCTTGAAATTTAAAAACATGGTTTAAAATAAGGCAAATAAAAAGATAAAGCATTTCAGAAGCGACAACGGTGGTGAATACTGTTCGAAGTAATTTGAGAGTGTTTTCAAGAAAAATGGGATCATACATCAAAAAACAAATAGCTATACCTAGATATACTCCAGAACAGAACGGAATGTTTGAACGTATATATGAATAGGACACTGGTCGAGAAAGCAGGATGTCTGTTGTATAATGCCAGTCTTCAAAAGATATTCTTGGCAGAGGCCATAAATATGGCAGTATATTTGAGGAGCAGTTCGTTAGCAGCTGGTATGGATGAAACGACTCCTCATGAAATGTGGCACCATAGAAAACCAACGAATTTTTGGCAGCAAGGTTATGGTACACACACCAAAAGCAAAGCGTACCAAATGGGACAAGAAGTCGGAAGAAATTATACTGGTAGGTAACAGTGAAGAGACAAAGAGTTACAGGGTATATAATCCTGTTACGCAAAAAATCAAAATTAGTAAAGACGTCATAGTCATGGAAGAAAATGTTCAGATAACAATAAATCCAGATGTACCACCTGAAGTGGGGCAAGAACATTCTGAAACGTCATCAGAAGACTCATCAAATGATTTTGAGAGCACACATGAGGAAGAAGTCGATGAAAAGATGTGAAATCAAAGAATCGGGAGCGGAGAATGTGAGAAGGTCTGGAAAAGAACATGAGCCTAAAAATTTTGATGACTACGTAATTTTTTTGTCAGCCAGTACTACGAATACTTCGAAGAAAGTAAGATTGGGAGAAGATCCAGTGACAGAAAATGATGCACTATCTAGGCCAGATAGTGAAAAGTGGAGAAAAGCTATGGCAGAGGAACCTCTGTCGTTTGATGAAAACGAAGCATGGGACGTTGTGAATACACCAGAGAGTGGTATAATGGTAGACTGCAAGTGGGTGTTCAAGCGAGAAAATGAAAGTGATGGTTCAGTGCGATATGGGGCTAGGCTTGTGGCTAGAGACTTTACTCTGGTACCAGGTGTTGACTTTGAAGAAACCTCCAGTTCATTTTAAGACTATTATTTGCTATTTTTGCTAAATGTGACCTAAAAATACCGCATCTAGATGTGGCAACACCGTTTTTAAATGGGTATTTAGATAAAGAGGTTAGGTTTCTATGAGAAGTCCACAGGGTTTAGAGATAGATGAAAATAGGGTTCTTAAATCTAAAAAGGCAATTTACGGTTTAAAACAAAGTTCTAGGCAGTGAAATGTTAGAGTAGATCCGGTTTTGTTAAAACTGGGTCACACAGTCGGAGTATGAACCATGTTTGTATGTTGAGGAAAACCACCTATTTAAAATATTATTTCTTTGAATCTTAACTTTTTAAAAAAATGTTTACTGTTCATTATTCAATTTTTATTTTTATTTTGTATTAAACTAATTGTTCCATCCAATTTGTGATAAGTGTGTGTGTCAAGGAGCGATCACAGGTCAGTTGAATAATTGTTATTTTGTTTTTGAGAATTCAATTTATACACGTATTATTTTTTCCCATTTTTATGTTTTTTCGTTTGTTTATAAAAATTTTTTTAAAGCATGTGCATTGTTCATGTATTTAACAAAAATCGTTTCATGCTGTAAACAACACAGATAAAGGCTAAATTGAAACCCAGAAAAATTATGTGCTGTCCTTTGTGCTAGAATTTTGATTTTTGGATTTACAGCGTTCATTAGGTCCATGTTAAATTTACTAACATTTTCTTACCCTGACGAGAGAATATCCTAGCAAATTGAAATAATCAATCTAGAGATATTGGCTCTAAAACAACTATAGCTGAGTAGCCTCCCGTATGGGACCTCAGTACCTGCTGGGAAACGGGCTAACTTACCAAAAACTTTTCAGTATTGAATATAGGCGGGAGTGTTGATTGAATGTTGTGTGTGGAATTAAAATTTTAGCACAAAGACCAAGGATGGTAGGTACCTAATTTAAACTTTTATTGAATTAAATTATCATTTAATGACTCACAATTATTATTAAAATCAGGGATGGGCATCTACGCGTAAATAAAGATTGTCTACGTTCTTGTATAAACAACGCGTAGACAATGTAAACTATGTAATCTATGTGGACAACGTGTAAAATTTGTAGACAACACGTAAAGTATTAGACTATCCAACATGAGGCTTAAAAAAAAAAGTTAAGACCAATGAAATTGTTGTAAAACCGAGATCAAAAGAATACCTTTAATTTGATACAATATGAATTCAATGTGATGCAAACTTTAAAAAAAAAACTCAAAGGACCCCGCACACCTCTTAAACTAGTTTCAACCAATGAAATTCACTCTGACAGACCCATTAATAGGTTACAAATAGATGTGAATGCATATAAAATGTGTACCTACATTTCTTGGACATTAAACCACCTGTATTTCGGAAACTGTTCATAGTATCGGATTGGGCCTATGAGAACTTTTTATCAGTGTCAAAATATACCACATATTAAAATTTCATTGAGTTTGACAGAAAACCAAAAACCCATAAGAGGTGTATATGGGAAAATTCCTAATTATTCCTTTTTTCAAAAAACTTCTCTTGGGGATCGTTAGGGCATGTTCGATAACTAAAAAATCGATTATGACACATGTCATGTTATTTTTCTGATGACCAGAAAATGTGCAAAAAGGGACATGGGTACAGTTATAGCGACACGACCGGACGGTATTTTCTAATGTATGCCCTTCAAGTGTGTATTTCGCAAAACAATCGATTTGTTTGATATGAAACTTATGTTGAGATTTTCGATTTTCCATTTAATGGTATGGGTAAAATAAGTAGTTTTATTTTTTTCTCTCTGATTTGCTTCAAAATCGGCATGTAGAGTTCTTTTTGGATTCTGAA